AATAAGGCCAAGAATAAAGCTCTTGAACAGATGAAACAACACTGGTATGACAAAACCTCTACTAGTGATGTTATAGGTGTTAGGAATACAAATCATGAAATGTGGCCATAACAACACACAACGACCTGCTTTGGATTTTCCTGCAGACTTGGTAGGTCGTGTGACCATAGCAAAAATATAATAATAATAATAATAATAATAATAATAATAATAATAATAATTGCAGGAAAAAGTAGAAAACTCAGTACAGTCGTAAAGCTTTTGATAGTGTGCCGCACTCTTGTTTCTTTAAGGGTTTGGAAATGCATAATGTCCCCTCAGGGATAGTAACTACACATCAGTGGTGATGTCATGCTGTACAGGACCAACTGAAAAGTTGTGTTAACCCGAAATGCAGATTCTGTGCTAAATATCAAGAAACAGTTGTCCACCTTTGTATCAGGTTACTCGGTGTTAGCACTAAAAATGGGACAGGAAATATATAGATAAATACAGAGCGATAATTATCACATGGTTTTAAGATTATCCATTATAAATATACAAACCGTCGAAAATTCTAGAAGATAATCTAGAAAGACGGTCGAAAGAAATCACCCTTCACAGAGCATAGTGACGCCAACAGACGATCAGAGAAGCAGCGATTAAATTACTTAAAAGTTTTTTTTTTTATGTACAGCTGGCTAAACATGAAGAAATACGAATGATAAAAGACCAAATGTTATCTTGATCTACCAAAGAAATAAAATAAAAAATAAAAAAAAATACGTGAGAGACGAGAAATACAAGGAGCAGCGTGGTCGTTTTAATTAATATATTGTCATAAATATAATTTGGAACTGATTATTATTCCTGAAATCCGTTTAGGATTGAACGATTATTTTCATATCGTTCATATTTTCTGCAGAGTGAATGCTTGCGCTGAATTGTTCACAGTTAATTTATTTGATTCTTGGCATATAGGTAGAAGATGAATAACTACCGTCTGGACTTATGAATATATGTTTTCCACCAGGTGTATAAATAGCTGTGTCAATATACTGACTGCAGTGATTATTGAGTAACAATTGAGTGGAACTATCCAGTCGAATTAGTTTGAATTATGGTGCGTCGATGATTTGGGTTTTGATTTAATATTTACCAGACGCCAAGCCGAACCGCACTGCTAACTGCAATGGTTATCTTTTGTTGACTTTTACTTCTTTGTTCTTTTTAAGAATTTTCTGATATTAGACCGCTTCGCTTGTCTTTTGTGCTATGTCAAGCGAAAGCTCGTTATCACATCCAAACCGCTCGTTATATTCGAGACTTTGTAGACGCCGTTACTAGTAGTAAAGCCTTCTTCCAATAATATCGGCACTAGTATTACTTGTTCAAGTAGTAATCGCCAAATAGTATATTGATCAGAAGAGAATCGTAATCCGTACAGTAGTAGAGTAGAGAGATTGAACGAATAACGATAGTGGATAGAAAAGAATGATGAACAGTCATCCGTATAGCTGATAGAAGTGAAATAGTGATCAGTTAGTCAACAAGAAACTTCGTATGTATTCACTTCCTTTATGATCACGTGATCTACTTAATAATGAAAACGCCCGTGTTACTCGCTGGCGAACTAGTTTCAAACTACAGTGTAGGCAACGACACTTACTCTTATACAAAAAGAATTTATATGCGCTTGGAAATAAATACTATTTTATCATAAAATTGAAGTCATGGGTCATCTTATACAAACAAATATTTGGAGAATTTGAAAGTTTAGACATATAATTATATTAATACAAAAAAGGGAATTCTAAGGAACATATGATTTGTGGTATGAATGTCACAAAAAACTGAGTGCAAAATTCAAACATTTTTGCATTGATGTTATCTGTATTTGAATTAAATCAAATTTCCCGCTTGTGGTATATCCTACCCATTATTATCTAGAAATAGGAAAATATATAGATATTGGCTTCCAAAATACGTGCATTTTGCGTAAAGGCGGACTTGTAGTTAATTTGACGAAGAAGAAAATCACTTTATTTTATAAATAATAATATGTAATCATTTACACTATTCACATTGTTTGAACATTTGACCTCATCCTTGTTGCCATATTCACAAGGTTTCGACCGTTTAATGCTCTGGCATTATTCAGGTCATTAGAATTTTGAACGGAACTATTTATTTCGTCCTCATGGACATATGGCCCAGTAGATAAAAGCGTTGGTTTGTATCCAATTGGAGAATTGATTTAAAAGCAGATAACTAAGACATCAGGAAGCGGCGTGGCACGCGGAACTAGAACAATCTACCACAGTGTCCGTCGTGAATATGGCAACAGAGATAAGGCCGACAGTCCGAACAATGTAAATAGTGTAAATTATTTCAATACCTCATTTCAAAAATATAGACAAATATGTAGTCAACTGGCATTTTTTTTTATTTAATTTTTTTTTAATTACGTTTAAAAAATGCTTTTAATAACATTCTTTTCAAAAACTTGAATGGCGTATAATTACTTGCTTCTTCGTTTAGATGGAGCTCGTCAGTCCTTCAAAGAAGATCATCTGGGGGATAGAGAACACTGGTGTAAATCCTCTGCTGCCTTGCGGCCATACCCAAACAGAGAAAAGTCTATAGAATAAATCCAGACAGAAAGTTTGGATTGGAAGCCCGAAGACAGTCACAACCAACAACCTGCCGGCAACTCCTTCAGGTCAAACCGACACAACATGTATTGTAAATACGTCGTAAATTATAGACTATTTCCTTTTGATCGCGATGAAAGACAGAAAAGATATTATCAGGAACGCTGTTTTGCTTCAATGAGAAAAGCAAAGGAAGGGAGAAAGAAAGAAATCAACAATGAGAAAGCGAAGAGAACAAGGTGAAGGCGATAACATTTCCATGTTTTTTACATTTTCTTCAGTGAAATGGCAAAGCTTGTCAATTTAAGATGTTTCTATTTGTATTTTCTTACACTTTTAAATAATGACCTACATTCATACATATGATTTTTTTATAAAATCTTATTAAATTGTTAAGATCCTCTAAGTAATTATGTAATTGGATGATTTCACAGTGGACATATTTATTCGTGTAGAATTATCAAACATCAGAAAATGAAAACAGGAAAACGGAATTTTTCGCGAATAATAATAGTAATAATAATAATAAAAATGATTGAGGCTTCTGTATTTATTTCAATCTTTGCTTGTATCTTCTCATTCTCTCCCATATATCTTTCAAAGTGCCTTGGCCGTTCATGTGTTTCCTCTTCATTTAAATTCTATGCAAACTATGCATGTCGAAACGGTGTTTGCGAACATAATTGGATCTGAAACCGTAGATAAAAATCAGTTGTATTAATAATGCAAATTGTGTTGCAGATTAAACAATTTGGTGAATTTTACGGAAAAAAATATGTGAGAATGAAGTGAATGCTTATTATAAATTCTCCAGATATTTTCCGTGACAATCAATTTTATTGAGGCCAAAAGTAATAGATAGATAGTAACTTTAGAAGAAGCTGCATTCAAGAAGGCAATGTTATTCATATAATCCATGAATCTTTATTCACATGATCCAGTGTGGAAAATAAGTACAATATGACATAATGAAAAATAGAATATGCTCTGTGTTCTTGGAACAAGACGAGTTTGATCTTGCAAAACAGTGGTTTATAGCTAACTTAGAACGTCACCTTGAGAAGAAATTATATCCCTAGATCAAACTGAGACTGGAAGCGATTGCACATTCCAAAGCAGATCTGTCATATTCATACGGAAGAATATTGTCTGAGAGTGAATGAGGTTTTCCGAGAAATAAACTTAAAAAAAAATTGAAAAGATGGAGACAATACTGTACATTGCAAGAAAATAAAATTCGCAACAATGGAGATGAGTGTTCTCCCTATAATTACTAGAATATTTTGGACACAGTCAAATATTTAAAGAATGGAAATTCATGGTAAAATCGAAGCCCTCTAGTTTATGATAAATGAAATCAAATAAAGTAGATTAGACCAATCATTTCCTAAATTTAGTAAAATTGAATGTATGCTAATTAATGAGAAAATTGTAATAAGTAACATTTCCAAACTTTAATATGGCTCGGGTTGAGCAATCGGAGAGCCGATTTCGAATTCTGGTCGAGCCCATTATATTAACTTACGTGCTAAAACCATTAGTCCAGTTATGAATCCATCTCTACTCCTCCAAGATATGAGTAACTGGGAGTAAGACTGAAGTTCGAAAGTCTTGGTTGGCGACTAGTCTACGAGAAGGAAGACTCTGAAGAGTGTTGAGCTCCCTTATGCTATCTTGCTCCAGGAAGTAACACGGATACTACGGCTACACTACATGTAGTGTCCCTCCACAAATAACTTATTTCGGGATTCGTGTTCGTGAATATTTGAAGTTGTTGGTATGATATCAAATGTCAGTTTAATCTATGGCGTGAGTTTCGAAGAATTGGATTTTGCTTAATTAATTTCGGAAATATGATTGTGGTTAATTAATTAAGTTTCTAAGTAAAATTATATTATGTCATTATGCGATTAATGTTGCTACCAAGTCACGTTGTAGTACACAGCGAATCTCAGGTCATTAACGACTAAACCGGTCCTCCCGCCAGGATCTTCTAGTGACGTGGTGTGTCTCGTTACTCAGCAGGGTTAAAAACAATTGTCAAAGAGTGGATGAACCTCCTTGCCTGTTCAGAGGTCATCTCAGAAGAGGAGGTACACTGACGATCCAATGATGCCATGACATAATTTGACCTACAGTGGGATAGGCTCCACGAAATCTACTTGCTGCGGGTGAATGGAAATTTTTTGTTATTGAAAACTGGTCATGCGACTGATGATGTTGTTGATGATGATGATGATGATGGTGAAAGTGCAAAATATTGAGAACTGTGCCAACGTGTCAACAGATCGTTAGCAGATAACAAGATTTCTTTCGCGAAAATAAAATGAATATCAACAGAAAATATAAACGTCCATATAAAAACTGTCAAGCCACACGCAAACCCACATACAGAGGAGTAGATAGATAGATAGATAGATAGATAGATAGATAGATAGATAGATATTGCTTTCTATGTGCACTTTTAGGACGTAGGTAATCATGTCTCTCCCCCTCCATCCCTTGCAGCTCTCAACAAGTTACTTCCCTCTGCTTCTACACGCCAGACCGCGTTCTGTCATCCACTTGGTTAAATCCGTCAGGTATGTCACGCGTTTTTTCCTTATCTCTCTTTCCCTCTATTCGACCCGTGAAGATCAGATTCTCCAAGACTTCCTTCCTCATTATGTATCCCAGAAACTTCAACTTCATCTTCCAGATATTAAGTATAAGCCTCCTCCGTGTTTGCATCTTCACTAAGACCTGATCGTTGCTCACGCGCTCGGTTCATGATACCCTTAGCATCGTTCTGTAAATTCAAGTCAGAGCTATGTAATCGCTTACATCATCCTCAGCGCGGATGTGGCTTTTTTTTACTCCCGCTGGAGCAACAAGTGTTACCTCACTTGTACAAGAAAATGTGTCTTCCGCAGGTACGACAGTAGTTGATACAGAGATGCCACATAGCGTGTAATGAATGATTTCTTTAAGTGGACTATTATGTTATTTTTAAGATCTACCCTCTGCAAAAAAAAGTTAGATCAAATATTTTAGCAACATCTTCGTGGAAATTAACGTCAAGACTGTAGGTTTCATGTGCTTCACAATTCTGTTAAAATCTCTCTTTCTTCCTTTATTAATTTTTTTTTTAATTATTACATCCCAGGAAAATCAGTGAAGCCATTAAGTCAAAAGTGGTTACTGAGTGTGAAAGAATAAGAAAAAAATAGAAATATTATTAAGGAACGAGATCAATAGAAGAATAATGAAAAATATAGTAAATAACTATTTATATTGCATTTAAATTAATCGAGTTCACCCCTCGCAAGGCAGTAAAGCCAACGAGACGGAAGGGATTACAAAGTGTGGAAGAGTCAGAAACGGGAATATGGCGAAGGAGAGAGATCAGAGGAATTAGCAATCAGGAAGAGAGTATATAGCGATTGACAATGTATTTAATATTTTGAAAATCAAAGTTGATAAGAAAGCAGTGTTATAAAATAAAATAAGACATATCTCGGCTGATTTACAGGCAAATACTCAAGAGCAAGAGCCGGATGTGAACGGGACAAAGCCCCGTCACAAAATGACCATTACCTTCAATTACAAATGTTCTCGACACACGAGTTCCGGTCGAAAAATAAAATAATAATTAAAGTGTTCTATTTTTCGTCCAATAAAAATGCTTCCCTCCTAATTATACTCGCTTCGTTTTTCGAGCATGTTAAGCCATAAAAAAACGCTATAAAAGGGGTCACACGGAAGTTCAACAGGCAGTCCACAGGTGCCCAGAGTAGAGACCTGTCACGGTCAGCTGCTGACAGCAGGGGAGCGTCAACCACCGTCAACATGTGTGAACTACTATGAAAGATCGACCTATATCCGAAGCCGGCTTATGAATTTTACCACAAAGTAGCTGTACCAAACCCACACGTTCCTGTTGAAATAAACCACGTAAATCTATTTCTGCTGTTGTCGTATTTCTTTCTTGCAACCATACGCTTGTATACAGCAGGGAACGAGAAGAGTGTTCCACAAACGAAAATTGCGTGAGAAGGAATTCTTAGCATAGAATTTACGATTGTATCTAACTGTAAATTAACTTGGTTTTACCGCCAACCTAGTACTGTTTAATTTCATACTATTTAGCATAGCGTTGTATTAATCCAAACATTTATCATAAAAAATATTTATAGTAAGGATACAACTAAGCTACATTACGGTCGTGGGAATGTGACTGAAGTCGAGACGCCAGGTCAGGACCAGTAATATCACTGATTCTTCTTTGGATTTTATCAGAAATCTGTAAATATATAGCAGGAGCACCTGATATATATATGGGATAGCAGTATTAAAATCATGCAAAACTGGTAAACTTATAAAAGTGTAAAACAAAAAAATTGTCTAGCACTACAAAGTGAACCAATTTTCTTAACAGCACCCCTAGCAATGGATTCAACATAATCGTTTCAATTCACGTCTGCCGAAAATTTTAGCCAGTGAAGGCGCAAAGAGTCACACACCTGGTGGTTAGCATCATGCATGGGAGACAGAAAGGTGACGCCCAGTTGTTTAATAGAGATAAGTCTTGTTTTGTCTTGGACGTGTTACCATTATATTGTGCTTTACTTATGAATGAACGATCTAGAGCCAGGTTTTGGCCAGTCATTTTAGATGAATATATACTTTGTAGCCGACTTAACGATTTTAGACAATAGCAACTCAGAATATGTCAAAGATAAAATACAAAATGATTGTTTATTACCTCACGTCTACTTGCTAGGAGACACGGCATATAAGCGTTGACAGTCGGCTGCCAGCATCTTTTCATTGAAATTTGCATTTTACTTTTGCTATACAATCGTAAACACTGCGCAAAACATGAAATACGATGTTTGTCATTGGATGGTAACTTGTAAACCTGACAAAATTGATGTCCTTCACAGACATACATCATGAAACGATAGTTCAGATAGGTAGTCAATGAATGGAGATCACGACAGGAATTGTTTCAATACCAATAACATTTTAAAATATGTGTAAATGTACGCTTCTAGCAGTGACGATTGCATTCAATAATCATTGTGTCGTTTGCAATGCATTTCTATAGTAAAAACATTTATACACAAACACACAGCCATACACACACAGCCACACACACACACACACACACACACACAGAGAGGGTGTCCCTCCCTTATGTACACATAAATACAACATACCTTAAAAGTATATTTTATTATATATCTTAAAACAATATTTTATGAAATAGACACACACACACATATACATATATATATATATATATATATATATATATATATGTGTGTGTGTGTGTGTGTGTGTGTGTGTGTGTGTGTTCAACAATTATAGCATAAGCATGTTATAGCATCATTAAACATACCCGTTTTGTTTCCGCACTTCTGAAGAGATTGTGTTCATTGCGAAATTTGAAGATTTTTTGAAAATTCAAAATCAAATCTAACCCTCTCAACAGGGGAAAATATGTTATGTACCCTATGATGATCAATCAGAATACAAGTATATGAAAATTCAAAAAACATGAGAGTTTATTCTAAATACAGTTGATTAAATTTACTGTTAAATCGAACTAGAAATCAATATGAAATAATTAAGTTTTAATTTCACGGTAAAATTTTTTAAAAAAATTCTAAATTAAACCGAGCATTATGTTTAAAATGTGAAAATTTATTTTATCCACTTGCTCTACATTGCATTTAGCACTTTTTAAAAAATAGTGGTTTTGTTTATCGGAAATTAATTCCATCTATACAAACTCTGTATTCGGTCAGATGTAGCCGACTAGTTAGAACGTTCACTTTCTGATCATGAGACCCGGGTTGAAATTTCACTATGGTCCATTTGTCAAGAAGAATACTTGCTGATATTATCGGACTGGATCGAGGTCGGTCCCAATGTGTGTCACCTTTGAAAATTGCCTGAAAACATACCACCGTTTGACTCAAGCCTTGGATAGACGGAAATCTTGGGGGCTGTCGATTGCTCTGCTAGCACGAAGCCACAAATCATCGTGGGCGAGGCTTTGAACGTTCTGGCCTTGTTCAGATTGTTGATCACGCTAGATAACACGCTCTCTTCCAGAAAATGTGACTAAGGCCTGCTCAGCTCAGTTGTATTATAAAACACTCTGTGGGCGTTGAGCAAATACAAAATGTGCCCTGAGCGAGAGTCTGCAATAGCGATTGTCTAGCCGCCCTAGTTGACAGGTATCCAGCTATTATTATATTATGGAGAATTAATTACTCACTAATTTTACAAAAAATAGCTGTATAGAATACATTCTATGTAATTAATATTCTCTGCAGAATTGCATTGGGTGATTATACTGAAAAATGTGTGTTTTGTGTAAAATAAATGTTTGTTTTGCAATATTAGCATAAGAATCTACATATGTTTCTATAAAGACGCACACAGACAAATGTATTTTGGGATGGGTTGCTGGATTATGTGACGCATCAACAGTTTTAAGCTATTTACTGTAACAACCGGTTTTTATTTATCATGCTTTCGACTACACGCAGATATTGATCCGGTGTATTTGAAAATATTGATCAGGATTATAACTAAGCATCGATCGAGTTTACTGGTAAATATTGATCAGGATTATAGGTAATCATTGATTGGTTTGATAGTTAGACATTGGTCGGGGTTAGACGTGAATATTCATCATGTATGTATAAATATTGATCGTTTTCATACGTAAATATTAGACGTAAATATTTTCGCAAAAAATTTGCTTGGACCATTACTTGAGTCTTTAGGCAAATAATTATCTTGTCATACATAAGAATTGCCTGGCTTTATTGGTAAAGTTTGGTTTATAGATATGATTTTATTAGGTTTAATGAAAGATACAGATTAAGTTTATTAGTACTTATCGACCAGATAAATATCCGTTGGTTGATATGTATATATTAACAGTTTTGTATGCATTAGTTTAGTCTACAGAAAAACCAGTATATGACTGATTCTAAACAGTGACTGCGTTTGAACTTGAGTCAACAGAAGAATAGTGACCGTGTTTATACTTCAGCCTATAGGATAGCATAAAGCGCATTGTTCATACTTCGGTCTTTATGCAATTAATGCACTGGGTTATACTTGATTATATAGGTGAACAATGAGCGTGTTTATACATAAGTCTATAGATAAAGAGTAACCGTGTTTATACTTGAGTCTATATGTAAACAATTATCGAATGTAGACTTGACTCTATATGGAAACAGTGACGTTGTTGTTCATAATTGAGGCTATTAGTAAAAACTGCTCATGATTATACTTGAGTAAATACTGTAAGTATCCGCCGTAGAGAGATGACATCTAGAGTGATGTTTTTCCTCTGTTGTATTCTCGGCCTCTATATGCAAGGTTATATACACTTACACACAATGTTACATACAAACTTCAGTGTATATTTATAGAAAATACATTCTTAACATC